GTTTTTTGAGACAGGGTCTCACTATGTAACTGAGACTGACCTGGAACTCACTGTGTAGCTCAGGCTGGTCTCGAACTCACAGCGATCCTCCTGCCTCAGTCTCCCGAGGGCTGGGATTACAGGCGCTCGCCACCATGCCCGGCCCACCCCATCTTATTTGTTACCGGGGATCGAACTCAGGCCCTTGTGCTTGTGAGGCAGGTGGCGAAACCGCTGAGCTAAATCCCCACCACATCTTATCGATGGACGCCTCTTAGCTCTTACAAACAATGCTGCTATGAATACAGGTGCGCGAATACCCCTTGAAGTCCTGCTTTCAGTTCTTTTGCTTCTGTACCCCAAAGTGAAATTGCTGGATCATATTGTAATTCTGTGTTTAATATTTGGAGGACTCTTCATACCATTTTCTATAGCGGCTGTGTCGTGTTACATTTTCACCTAGAGGGTTCAAGAGTTCCGTTACCTTCGCAACCTTGCCAGAACTTTGTCGTTCTCTGTTTTTGTAGCAACCAGCTGACTCATCTAAGTGAGCCAGTGACAGTATTTGAACTTGAGCCTCTATCTTAAGCATCTGTTTTTCTCTTCTTTCTTTGGCTCATTTTATTATTTATACTTCAACTTTAATGTAGATCACCTGATATTTATATGCCACTGAATTTTAGTGCATCTCCAGGGGCAGTTAATCCATTTACCAAGAGCAGGAATGTCAGACTGCTTACTTAGATCTGCACCAGAGGGCTCGCTAGGGAGGAGGGGGATGCTAAAGGTTAGTTTCCCTGATGGAATGAGGAATATACACAGATATGTTTGGCCAGAAAGATGGGCAGCTGCTACCACTTTCCCTTGACTAGACAATACAGATCCAGAAGCCCAGCAGCCTTGGAATTCGGGAATGATGCCTTAGGTCTGTAATTCTGCTCCACCAACCAGTGGCAGGTTTGGTGTGCTGATGTAACATGAAGGCTGGCAGGTCCTGGTGCAGGGTGTTGTGGGATTTGCCTTGGAGTGATGCTTCTATGCAGGATGCTCATCAGGATGCCTGACATGTTGGAGAGGAGGGTCTTAAGCTCATAGAAGCAGTTGTGTGACTGATTGCTCGGCAGCTTGATGATACTTTTGGACATGTGATAGAATTCAGCCCTAGACTCACCTTCCCGTAACACATCAACCCATAGGGGACATAACACTGCCTCACCTGTAATTTTCCCTCTCATCCCTTAGGGTGTGTGACAGTCTTGAGTGGCTGCTCTGGCTTCAGAAAGTTTCAAGTTCAAAACAGCACAATGGTGTATGTGTGTGTGTGTGTGTGTGTCTTCCAGGCTGTGGCTACAGGAACAGATGCCCTGTAGGTGACACGCATCTTTATCTCGCTGCACCTCCCCAAGTCTATGTAGCTCCACTTCAAACTTGTAAGCCACCTGCATGTTATTGCAGTGTGGAGATAACCCAGCCTGCTGCTGCCGATCTGTGACCTTCCTCCTGATGCCACCTTGGTGCCTGAGCTTGTCACCGAAGGAGCACTTCCTTTCAGAAGTCCTGCCTTATGCAATCTGTCGTGTCCTAAGAAATCCTTGGCTGTCTTTGCCCAGGAAGTCAGGCAGGTGGTCATGTGTGCACTGCTTTTTGTTTGGTGGTCAGTCATCATTCTGGGATATTAGCTCTGCAGAATGTGGGGATATTCCCAGCCAGCTACTTTTTGTTCTAGGTCACTAGCACATGCCTTCCAGCATTAATGCCTCGGGACATGGGCTTTCCACAGGAAATCGCATTAAGCAGATCACTTCTCACATACTTTTTTTTTTTTTTTTTTTTCCTGGTACGGGGGATCAAACTCAAGTCCTTGCACTTGCGAGGCAGGCCACCGAACCGCTGAGCTAAATCCCCGGCCCTCTCACGTACTTTTGACCAGCCAGGACCTTTGAGAAGTGTGAGGGTGAGCTTCCGTGATTCAGTTGTGCATCATTGATAGAATGACTCCTGACATCCACAGCAGGGCTGGTTTGGGCCAGACATCTCAGTGGACCTTCTAGGGAGGCTGGAGATTTCCAGTGGAACTATGGACCTCTGGTCATTGGGTGTGTGGCAGGTTGGTGGCTGTACAGTCCCCATTGTGGAGACCCTAGAGACAGCTCTGGTCAATCACTGAATAGTTTTTGAGTATTTGGAAGGCATTTCACAAATCAACGATGACCCTCTTCAAAGAGCTGGCTTTTATAAAAGGGACAAATTAGAGAAACTGAGTTGTTGAAAATTGTCAAAAGCAGCCCCTCTGAAAAGAGTCAAAAAGGGTAATCCTAGTTGAGCATGGTAGCAAACACCTGTAACCCCAGCACTCAGAAGCTGGGGCAGAAGGATTGCCATGGGTTCAAGGCCACCCTGGGCTACATAGTGAGTTCAAGGCCATCCTGAACTGCATAGTAAGACCCTGTCTCCAAAATATAAAAATAAAATAAAAGAATCCTTACTGTTGAATCCTATTCAAAAGCATTTCCTGTTGGGCTAGAGAAGGATCGTGCAAAGGGAATCTCTTTCCTGAGAAGAGGCTAGACAGATGTTGAAGAATTGGATCTTGATCTTTAAGCAAATACTGAGGAACGCTATGAGACCATTGTCATAGTTTCCAAGTCACTATTTCCACTGAAGAAGGAGTTAAGGTCCTGGCCTCAATTTACAGAAGAGACTTAAATAACACGGCAAGGGGCAATTTTCAAACTCAAGGACCACAAGATGTTAGCAGGGAAATAGAGTCTTTCTAGCAAGACCTGGGTATCACCCGCCTCACCTCATACATGTGTGGCAGTGGGGACCTTGCTGGGGACCATCCCACCATCCTGAGACCCGTCTGTCTAAGGTTCTGGAAGTGGAGAATGGGTAAAAAAGCCTAATGCTTCAGGAGCTTTTTTTTTTTTTTTTTTTCCTCTCTCCCCATAAAACACAGCTTCCATCTGTATAAGTGTCCTGGGGGTGGTGGGGAGCTTGGAAAACTTCCCCGGGTGACTTTGCCCTGTCATCTTGATTACAAACTGCTGCTCTGTTCTTCGGCTGTTGGGTCTGAGCACTGGGCCGTGTGTGAGAGAATCCTCCAAGAGGGACAGGCAGAGGCTGCGGCACAAGACGATGCTGCTTCTTCCGTGTTGCTGGAGCAGCTGCTGGCAGGTGGTGCCGTGAGGTTCACACCCCCAGCTCAGCTCATATTCCAGAACCCTCCGGCTGGGCCTGGCACAGTTTTTGTGTTTGAGATCCATGTCATAAACACATCACACCCACACATGTACACGTATACACATGCTCACATCCATATTATCTTCAAAAGATTGAGTAGTATTTAGTTTGGGTTTTTTCTTGGGCATAGGGCAAACTGTGGGCTGATGTGACCAGAATGCTTGGCTCCTGCAGCGTTGACCAGGAAGCCAGGGAGAACATTGTCTCAGCAGTGAAGGGCCTGCCAGGCTGGCCATCAGAGAGGACCCAGGAGACCGCCTTAGAGTGCTGGGAGGGGACTTAGGAGGGCAGGAGCTGAATGGTTTTAGCTGACGTGACATCTGCACACCTTTTGGGAGGAGCTGTACACGCTGAGAGTGGGAAAGACCTCATGTTCATTGCAGCCCAGCAGTGGACAGGAACCAGGGCAAGGAGAGTTTAGCTCAGTTTCTTAACTATTGGTAGCCACAGACTGGCCCCCAAAGCCTGGTGGTCTGAGGGCTGTATTCCCTGAGTCAACCAAACTCATCCTTATGGCTGAGGTGTTAGGAGGAATGCCTAACAATCACGAGAATATCTACATGTTTTGATGTATGCTAGGCACGCTAGGCCTTCATTTTCTTTCTTTTTGGGGGGCCGGCATTTAGCTCAGTGGTGCCACCACCTGCCTTGCAAGCACAAGGTCCCCAGTTCGATCCCCGGTACTGGAAAAAAAAAAAGATACTGGGGATCGAATTTGGGACCTTGCAATTCTCAGGGGGGCAGTGGCACCACTGAGCTAAATCCCCACCCCTAGTGTCGCGAGCCGGATTGCCTTGGGCAGCTCAGTCTGTGACTACAGGGGCCTGAACTGGCGACGCGTGAGCAAAGAGGCACACACTTGATACACAAGGAGTTTACTTTAGTTCCTCATCTCCGGATCTCTACCCCGCTCTCTCTCTGCGCCTGGAAGGGGTGGCAACATATATACCATAATGCAACCAATCAGCATACAGAGAACAGATTATTGCCTTATAAGGATACATCAAACACCCACGGGAACATATCATGTGATCTACAGGAAAACTAAACCTAATACAAAATGGCTTCATAGGCTATATCATAAAATGGCGGAGGGGCGGATCTATGGTTCTCCACACCTAGGCCTTCATTTTCTGTAATCCTCAGAAGAATGCTCAGGGTGAGTATTACACTTATTTACCAATGAGGAAGCTGAGGCTGAGTAGTTAGGTCACTTGCCCAAGACCACAGAACTATAGGAGGCGGGATTTGAACCTAGCTATGTTCAAATCCAAATCACATGTTTTAAAATCTACATTACACCATACTGTAATCTACATCACATGAAGGAACATCGCTCCTACTTCATGCAACATCTTTTATTTATTTATATTTTTTTTCCTCATTGAGTTTTTTGGTACATTCTAGGTATACAGTACAGTTACGTTCATTATTGGGATCTTGTACCTTTACATGACAGGCCTTGGTTCTCATTTTTTCCCCTTGTCCCTGCCCTCCCTTCACCCCCTCTCAACATCTTTTAAGTTAATGGCTGCTACCGACCGTAGGGGAGCAGAGCCTGGATTTCACGAGGAGAACAGGGATCTTCAGAAAGGTGGGAGCAGGTTCGGCGGCGACAGTCAGAAACCACACAGCACTGAGTGGTGAAGGTAGTAGCTGCTGCAATTTTATTTCTAACTCTAGGTGCATATATACTAGTTTCAAGGGCACACCTCAAGAGTGATTTCAGTCACAGGCAGGCATGAGAAAGATAGACAATAGTACTGTAAAAGCTAAGACCACAAGGTCAAGGTAAGACCACACCTATATACAATCACAAAAGCTAAGATCCCTAAGTCAAGGTAAGACCACACCTATACACAGTCAGAAGGGGAAGTTTGTAAAACAAAGGACTGGCTTCAGCATGTCACCTTCAGGATCACCTTCAGGACTTCGCAGTCCGGGGCTCAGGGTCAGCACGTCCTCTTGTGCCCCAATACCTCCCCATCTCTAGGAACATCTAATTGTTCCTGATCTTTCCTGGGCCCAGAATACAATTCTACAGATAATGAACAAATAGTAATAAAGACAAAAGAGAACAGAATTATAAATGAACCCGATGTCCCCAGACTGCAGGCAGAGAGGCCAGCTATTCTCTTCACGGCTGACTTCGCATGCGGTGTGTGCCAAGGACTTCCAGGAGGCTTAACCCCGTGGGGACGATACCTCGGGTCTGGTTTCTGCCAGGTGGCCTGCATTGTCACGCAGACTCCACTGGAGTGGTCGTGGCAAATGGCTTTTGTTTTTAGTCTATTAAGCTTTAGATAGCATTCAAAAATCCACAGTTAGGCTTTAAATTGCCCAGCTTTTATATGTAATCACAGTTGGTGAATTGTTTTTTGTTTTGTTTTGTTTTTTGGTATTAGGGATTGAACCCAAAGCTTTCATGCTGAGCCTACACCCAGCCCTTTTTAAACATTTTTATTTTGTGACAGGGTGTTGCTAAGTCTCTAAATTGCACTGGCTTATCTTTGTTTGTTTGTTTGTTTGTTTTGTACCGGGGATCAAACTCTGGTTGCTTTCCTGGAAGGCGGAGGAACCACTGAGCTAAATCCCTTGCCCCTTGCACAGGCTTATCGTGAACTTGCTGTCTTCCTGTCCTTACCTCCCAGAGGGCTGGGATCACAAGCCTGTACCAGTACGCCTTGTTGGTACAGTTGCTGGTCATAATTGTGAGCAACAGTGTATTTAAATTTGCTGCCGAGTTTAGGGCCCTCATCCAGAGACCAGACACTTGTCTCTGTGTCCTGCAGACGTGTCTTTGCCCATTCGATGTGAGGGGCTCATTAGGACAATACCAGCCTCAGCAGCTCCGTCCTGGGAGAGATGAGAAAAGTCAGGGCTTCCTTAGGGAAGGGGCCTGGGGAGTTGCTCTCTAAAGTCAGGCACAGGAAAAAAGATCGCACTACTTTAGAGACCTATTTATCTTATCATGGATCCATTCTCAGGGGGAAGTGCCGTCTATTTTGTTACCCTCAGTGATCTTTAAAGAGGTTGAAAACAGTGCATTCTCAAACCATTTCCTGCAGACATCGACGAATGCTCGGAGCAGCCCTCCGTGTGCGGCAGCCACGCGATCTGCAACAACCAGCCAGGCACCTTCCGCTGCGAGTGCTCTGAGGGTTACCGCTTCAACGACGAAGGCAAGTGTGTGGGTAAGTAGTCCTGCACGTGATGCTTCAAAACGTGCGCGTGTCGTGCGCCGGCTCCACGTGGGGTCGTAATCCCGGCCGAAAGGAAGGGGCTGGCTTCTGCCCCTGGGGCTTCTGCCCCTGCTCTCCACCTACCTGCGGCTATGGCTGCAAGGAGTAAACCATGTTCTTGTGTGCACTGGCAACACAACACCATCGCCTCATTTGTTGTGACTTTTGTCTTGTATTTGCTTCTTATAAGTGTGTTGTGTGCGTGTGTGTGACTCGTGGCTGCAGATTGAACCCAAAGGCTCTGTATTGAGCTATATCCCTGCCCATTTAAAAAGTTTTATATTTTAGTACAAGTTATCACTGAGTCTTTAAATTCTCCAATTTGGCTTCAGATTTAGAATCCTGCCTCAGCTTCCCAGAGTGCTGGATATTATAGGCGTGTTCCACCACGTCCAGCACATCTTATAAACTTTTGTTTGTTTGTTTTGAGACAGGGTCTCACTATATAGTTGAGACTGACCTGGAATTCACTATGTAGCCCAGGCTGGTCTCAAACTCACAGCAATCCTCCTGCCTCAGCCTCCTAAGTGCTAGGACTACAGGCGTGCGCCACTACGCCCGGCTCACTTTATAAACTTTAATCATTTTTCAGTATGGCTGTGAAGCTGTGAGAGTTTAGCCCTGAGAAACATTAGGGTTCCCTTCTGGTGACTTTTTGCCATTAGCTGTTTTAGGCTATATTCTACCTAAGTAAGTTACATCTAAAATTCCATCTGGGGGTTGTTCTAAACCACAGCATAATGTTTTAGTCTTCCTAAAGTGAATTAATTAATTAGACTAACACTACTCTTACTTGATGATTTTTTGGTAATGATGATTATGGGCCAACCACAAAGAGCCAGGTTGTTAATATCTTTTCTACTGCTGCACATTGATGCTAGTTCCAAGAATTTTGAGTTCAGAGATTCTTGGAGCCTTCCAGGTCTGGAGAGCAGCCAGCTGAAAGCCATCTGAGCTCAATGTGTCTACCCGGTTTAAGCAGAGTCATCTGTGCTGTTTCAGCCTTCATCCCATTGCCCTTCCTGGCTGTTTGCAGAGCCCTGAATGCTTTCCCTTTGCTCCGTCTCTGAGTTCAGATGAGGAGCCAAAGTCCCAGGGTGAGGTGATGTCCTCAGGGCAGGAAGGAACAGGCAGTTCTCGTGTTTGGACTGTGGCCCAAACATCTGTGAGCTTGGGAGGCCTGTTCCCTCTACAGATTTGAAGTTCCCTCTCACTGTGCTAAAGTTACTTATTTTTCCTCTCAGTAGAGAACATTGGTTTCTGTGCATTTCGCCTCACCTTCTTTGCTGCTTTTGGTGGTGTGGGAGATTCCAAAGTTTGTTTTTAATAGCAGCCCCTTTTCTATCCTGTGTTGGCTCGGGCTTGGGTGGTGGGTTTTGTACCCCTTCGGTGGTGGTATGCAGAGTCACTGAGACCAATCTGAGACGTGCACGTGTGAGGCATGATCTGCGTTTCTGGATCTGATCCTTCCTGATGGCCACAGGCACCGGAGGGGCCGGGCAGAGTACGAGGCTAGTGCTGTGTAAATGTCTGCTCCCAGAGATGTTTGATTCCAAGGAAGATGTTCGAGTGCCCAGACTCCAGTCCCTCATCTGTAAAATGAGGTGATCGTTGGCATCCTGTGTCCCTGGGAGCCATCGAAATGATTTAGAAGCTGTAGAAGCTATGTAGACACAGAGAGGTCATGGGCAGGCTGTTATCCCCTCCTCTGACTGCCAGCCTCCCGTTTTCTATAAATCGGATTTTGAGTAAGATACTTGAATAATGGATTCCATTGTTCAAACCACGAGTGAAGGGCCGGGGATTCAGCTCAGTGGTTCCACTGCCTGCTTCGCAAGCGCAAGGACCTGAGTTCGATCCCTGGTACCTGCCCCCAAAAAGGGTGAAAACCACTGGAGGGGCTACAGGGAGGTGGTCACTGGGTTCTGTCAGATCTGGCCTTATGCAGCCTCCATTTTCCCACTGCCAGTGGCCCCAGGAAGTTCCCACCTGCTCAGATCTCTGCCCCTTTAACCAGCTGCTGAGCCACAGTCGTCTCTCAGAATTCCCTGTCCAAATATTATCTTAGGGTGAAAGCCAAGGTGAACTTGGGTGTCTTTGTATGGTGTATGGCACTACCCCAGCTCTTCTGGCAAAGCAACAGCCTAGCCAGGCTTTGGCAGAAGGCTGCTGAGCACGAAGCCATTCACCCTCCCCGCTTGCCAGTCATATTGTTAGGGATGCAAGATGGAGGATTCAGTGTGATCTTGTTTTTGAATTTACAGTTCCCAGAGGCCTTCTGACTCACTCTCCTGAGGCCTGTGTACCCTGCCTTTTTTTCCTCCTCCAAGTGGCTTCTTTCACTCTATTTGTCCCTCTTCCTCTTGCATCTCCTGTGCCTCATTTCTCAGCCCTAACCTGCCTGTGTGTCTCGCAGGGACCCTGTCACGGTTCCAGGGGCAGGGCACAGCCCTTTGCCTGAGTTTTCTTCAGAAATGAATGCACCGTAAAAGTGGAACCGCGGCTTAACAATCTCTGGATTTCCATTTTGAGCTCAATTTTCTCTTTTCCAAAACTTGCCCCTGCATTCACCCCGGGGTGCCCCGTGTTACTTCAGGGGCAGGGAAGGTGCCGCTCTGCCTGGTGAGGATCCCTGGGGACAGTGGTGTTGTGAGTATCAGTGTCCCCGCCTGCACATCAGCCCACGTTCTGGGCAGCGAGAGCGGCAGCTTCACCTCTGTGGTGTTGGTCACCGACTCTCCCAGGCTCCAGTGGCTCCTCTGTAGCAATAAAGTCAGCAAGGCCATCTGGAGGCTCCATTCCCGTGAGAACTGGAGGAAACTGCTGGGCCTGCGACAGCCCTAGGAAACACTTTCACTCTAGCTGATGTGCAGACAGACAGACATTAGCTTAAAAATGTTTTATTTACTTAAAACTGAGAACCATGCAGTTATACTGTTTAGGGTTGTAAAATTAATTTTGAAAGCTTCAGTAAGAATGAAATCACTGGGCATGAGAAATTGTCTTACATAAAGGAAGACCCGGTTGAAAAAATTACATTATAGGCTGCTCTTTCTTATCAGCAGTTTGAAGATTCTAGAAATGCACGTGTCAAAATGATGACTGGGCAGCAATCGTTAGAGCTGCACACAGGTGTATGGAGGCCCAGGAGCTCCTGATGAGCTGAACAGCAGCACAAATGTTTGGCGGAGGAGAGAGAGGAGAGTAGAGCAGGACTCATTTCCCAGTTGTCGTGGCCACAGTGGGAATCTATTTTCCCTGCCTTCTTTGGGTTTTAATTCTTCAAGTTTCCCCTATGACACTGTGGCACCTGCAGGAGCTGCAAGGGAGGAGGTCCCTGTAGAAGGGAACAGTTGAAGTGATGGGAAGAGGATCCCAAGGCAGCAGGACGTGCTCAGGCTGGTTAGGTAGACTCTGGGTTACTGTTTTCAGGCAGGAGTGTTTTGCACCACTGGCAGCTGTGTAAAATCTGGCCACCTTTGGGTCTATAAGATTGGCTTTGATGGTGCCTCTCCCAGGGAGTTAGTCAGTGGCTTGGGCTTGGGGAATCTAAAGCACTCAGGGCACAGGCCTAGGCTTCCAGCCCAGTCCTTGGCTGCCTTTCACTTAGCACCGTTTACCTGAGAGTGTGCCAGACTCTCTGTTTCCCCTCCTCTTCCCTCCCTCCTTCCTCCTTACTTCTCTTCCTTTCTACTTCAGGCAAGATCAATCAAAATCGGGCACGAGACAGTTCATCGAGGAGAGATGAGTCCCGTCCATAGGCTAATCCAGATCCAAGGACCTCCTGGGGGAGAGAAAAAAGTTGTGTTTTGGCATGGCCAGGGCTGAACTGTCCTGGGTCTTAGTGTTTCCAGAAACCCAAAAGGAAAATGGTGCCATAGGAACCCCAGAGTAACAGAATCAGCCATTGGAAACCACCCCGATCTTGGCCATGACTGGCTGCAGCGCGAGGAGGGCGCCATTGCCAGCCCCTGTGTCCCTTATACTCTTCCTCAGCCTGTTTCCTGAGGCTGTCATCAGGACCATGGTCTCCTTTGCTGGCTTCTCTGTCACCAGAAGTCACCATCCCTGCTACCTGAAGCTCTGAGCGGTAAACAGTGAACCCAAGTCCATATGGGCAGCCCACAGACCGGGAGCAAGCCCAGGGCCACCCACCCACGGGCCCACAGTCTTCTGCCTTACCTGCCTCAGAGCCTTAGAGAAGCCTCTTTTGCCTTGGTGGAAAGTAGGTGACACTGATTCTGGCATTGGCGGTGAAGGTACCCCCTGTCCAGGGTGGTGCTGCAGTCACTCTGTGGTTTCCGATTTTGGGCTCCAAAATCTGCCCGAGCCAAGGTGCTGTGGGAAGTGTGGCCTTTGCAGATGTCCAGCCTCCATCTCCAGATGAGCAGGCTCTTAGGACCTTCACTAGGATCTTGGATGGCAAGAGCCTGAGCCTAGGGGCAACAGAGGGTAAAGCCAGGTTGAAAGACTGACTCATCAAGATCTTAGAGGCCTGATCCGGGGAAGAAGGAAACAAGAGGAAAACCTATCGGGAAGCAGGGGAGCACCCTGGAGGTCCCTCCTCAAGCCCACTGGGTGGAACTGATGGAGTGGAGGGAGCTGGGCCAGGCCCGACCTGCTCGGTGACCTTCCTCCAACAGTGTGCCTTAACCTTTTGTTCTGAAGCTGTTGTGGACCAGCGCCCCATCGACTACTGTGCCACTGGCCTCCATGACTGTGATATACCCCAGCGGGCCACCTGCATCTACACAGGCGGCTCCTCCTACACATGCTCCTGTCTGCCGGGCTTTTTTGGAAACGGCCGAGCCTGCCAAGGTATGTGTGGTCACTCTGAGTTTTCCTTCCATGTCTCTTGGAAAGGCTGCCTCGGCGGTGCTTACTATGTGCTGATTCCTAGCCACCTCTTAGCCCTCTACCCCAAATATAAGAGAGGATAATGGTCCCAGCTCCACTGGGTAAATGAAATGCTTCTTACTTCTCTCGTGGCTGTTACTGTGATTTCTTTTGGGGCTGTTCTTGGTGAGGATCCTTGCCTTCCCCCTGTAGCTTTGTTCTGTGTGACTTGTTTGTTCAGGCAACAGTTAGACACCTGCGCTCTGCTGGGAACTGAGAACATTGTTGGTCTTTCACAAAAAAGCAAATAGTCCCTGCATGTGTGCGGCATAAAGTCCATCCTCTTATTTAATAAGATACACATAATCATTCAGCTGGCTTGCTCTAGCTTCCTCCCCACAAAGCAGAGTCCCTTTATTGAATAAATGGCCACAGAGTCAGAGAATAAATGTTACACAGAATCCTTTCACACTTGGGATCAGCCCACTGGTGGTTGCCAAGTGCTCATAGAGGTAATTTTAGGTAAGAAAATGAACAGAGTACCCGAGTCTCTGTTGCTAGTTTGTATACCCTAGAGTGTTTCTGAAAAGCCCACACTTTCTAAGATGATTCAAGATACTGTCTCTTCATTGCTTATCAGGCGAATTGCCACTGGTCCCTGCCTGGGGCTTTCCTGTCCAGCAGTTAATGATATGACTCTAAACATACAAGCATTTCAGCAGTTCTCCCTTTCGATGGAAGGGATCATCGTCTGATGTAAATGAATCGTTTCTTTGTCCTTCCTGCAAACTTGATTTCTCATGAGGATGTTATTGTCAAAGTGAAACACATTTGCGAATGTCCTAGACCAGTGATGGTGAACTTACTAGAGCTTTCAGGGATACACACAGCCCGCTATGGCACGCGTGCCATAGCTTTACCACCACTGCTCTAGATGGACATCGGGGAGTTAGTGTCTTGATGTTTAGTGAGTATAACATCACTGTTCCAGAAAGCTGGTTCCCATAGATATGAGTAAGAAGTGGCTTAAACTATTGGGCAAACCACAAATTCTGGGAACAGACTCGCTGACCTTGGGCCTGTGGCTGTTTTGCAGATGTGGACGAATGCCAGCCCAGTCGCTGTCACCCTGACGCCTTTTGCTATAACAGTCCAGGCTCCTTCACGTGCCAGTGCAAACCTGGCTACCAAGGGGACGGATTCCGATGCGTGCCTGGAGGTAAGGGGCGACAGTTGAAGAGGGAAATTAGGGGCCCATTGCTGTATTCATGAGGTCTGCGCACATGCTCCTGGGGAGATGAGGCATTAATGGGAGACTCCGTAGGGGCAGAACACCAGCTTCAGTGCAGAGCCTTCAGGGCACACAGTGAACACCTCCAGGGACCATCTACACAGACCACACTGTGCTGGCAGCCTGAAGTCAATTTCCCATGACTTGGCCAGCAGTGCAAGACAGGAACTGGGCTGTGTTTGCCAGGGCTTGCCAGAAAAACAGAACCAGAAGGAGGTTTGTGTGTGTGTGTGTGTGTGTGTGTGTGTGTGTGTGTGTGTGTGTGTGGAGAGAGAGAGAGATTTGCTGTAAGAAATTGACTCATGTATTATGGAGACCAACAAATCCCAAGATCTGCAGTTGGAAAGCAGGATACCCAAGAACACCAATGGCTTAGTTCCAGAGCTAAGGCCAGTACACTCGTGACTCTGGACGAGCTTATGTTTTATTTACCTCTGGAATGCAGGAGGGAAGTGATGTTCTATTCTGGAGACCATCAGCAAGAAGAATTATCTTATCCTGGAAAGGGTCAGTTGTTTTGTTCTGTTCAGACCTTCAGCTGATTGGACAAGGCCTGCCCACCTCAGGAGGGCCAGGGCTGAAGTTTCACGACCTGGGAGAGGATGCAGGTGGGCTGTAGTTGTTAACACTACCTGAATGGTGCAACCTGGAGTTGCTGCTGACCCAAGACTCAAGTTACCCCCCTGGAGCCTGAGATCCTGGCAGTTCCCGCCAGCCCTGGAAGGAGTCTGGCGACTGGGGAGGCCCTCAGAAAATGCTCCTGCATGAGTGAAGATAGTGGGGTGCCTTTGCTGCAGAGCCTGCTACATGCTGGAGCTTGTGTCAGCAGATTTCCATCATGGTAACAAAGTATCTGAGAAAATCACCTCAAAAGGAAGAAAGATTTATTTGACCTTGTTGTTTCAGGGATATCAGCTCGTGGTCACTTGGCTTTGTTGTTTTGGGTCCTGTGAGGCAGAATGTCATGGCCAGGAGTGTGTAGTGGAGCAAACCTGCTCACCTCATGGTGGTCCAGAAGCAAAAAGAGAGAAAGGGCTGTGTCCCCATGAGCCATCCGAGGCCACACCCCCAGTCTCCCACCTTCCTCCCACTAGGCCCTATCTTCCAAAGGTTCTGCCACCTTCCTTCCACTAGCACCCCAGGCTGGGGACCGGGCTTCCAGAGCGGTATTTTGTAGGGTCTGTCTCAGGGCCTGCTCCAGCTCATCTTCATCAGAGCAGTGCCGTGATTATCTCTGTTTACATGGCGGGTGTGACCCCAGACAAGAAAAACACTCTTCCCAGGTTGCCTAGGTAGTGAATGCTAGAGCTGCGTTGTTCTGTCGTTGTGGATTCAGTCCTCCAAACATGTCGTATCCTGACATGAGGCTAAGAATGTACTTGACCCCTCAGGCTGTAGGTAGCCAGCCATGTTATTTGTTTTCGGTTATTGCTTCTCGTGTTGGTCAGATATATTCACAGTGCTTTGGATATTTTCAGTAAGAGATGCGTGAACATGTTTGTCTCTCCACTTCGGCAAGCAGCCAGGAACTGCATGAATGTCCACCTCTTTCACCAGTCTGGGTGCAGTAAGGGCGGGATGCAGATGCACTTTCTACCTCTAGCCAGCCGAGGCCACTCCCACAGCCACCCAGTTTCTCTAGCGCCCAGTGGGGTTTGTGGCCCATGCAGGGTTCATAGCTATTTAGTTGTCAGGAAAACAATGAATGCACCGGCTTCCATATTCCTCACAGCAGTATGTGAAGGTATTGTTGACCCACACTCTCACTAGGACTAGTTTTTAGAATGGTGTTAATCTAAAAGGAGAAAACGTCAAGCAAAATGAAGTTTAAATTTTGGCATCTGTTGCGAGGCTAAATTGTTTTCTTCTGTTTAGAACAGGAATCAGTAAACTATGGCTTACAGGTCCAGTTTGGCCCTCTGTCTGATTTTGTACCTAAAGTTTTATTGGAACATAGCTATGGTCTTTAGCTCCTGTGTGAAGTCTGACTGCTTTCGTGTTAGGAAGTCGGAGCTCAGTACTCGGAACTGAGTCTGTGAGGTCCACAAAGTGGAAAGGGCCTAAATAGTTTACTCTCTTGCCCATGGGAGAAAAAGCTTATTATACTTAGCTTCCATAGATCCTGGCATGGTCAACCTTTTGTTCCTGTGTTTACGGGTAAAAACTGGAGGCCCATGCACAGATTTTGACAGGCACAGTACACAGGGAAGAGTTCTTGGCAGCGGGAGTCTGGGCATCCCTACAGCTATTAAAAATGACTAGTGCCCATTACTGCACAGGCTCACTTCTCATCTTCACTTCAAAGAGAAGCAGATGTTTCTGTTTTTGGCTTTTGTTGTTTTTAGCCTGACTCGCTGCCCTCTCTTTAAGGTTCTGTTTACTAAACAGAAACAAATCCAGACCTGTAGTCTGGGATATGAGGATGAGGCAATGATAATGTTAGTAAGAGCTGTTTACCCGGACTGTTTATGTATTTAACCCTGTTCCCTAAGGACATTCAACATCTAGCTATATACCCAAGAGACGGTGTGCTTCAGAAATACACAAGAAAGCTCACTGCAAATTGTTTGTAATACAACAGTCTCCATGACTGTCAGCAGGAGGAGGGGACAGATGAGTCGTGCTTAATTTCATGTGATGAAATAGCAGGCAGCAATTAAAATGAATGAACTGGAGTTACTGGATAAATCTCCAAGCCGTGGTGTTAGTTAAGCAAAAGAAAACGTAGCGAAAGGATGTGTGCAGTGTGATCCCATGTTCATAAAACAGAGACCTGCCTGAAAATAAACCTATATACATGGGAAAACTGAAATGCGTGTAGGAAATAAGGGGCCCAGCACAAAGATTAGTATGGTGGGAGGAAGGGTTTGGGATGAGGGAGAGGTAATGCTGTCTTGATCGGCTTGGACTTCTGTGACAGAATACCATGGAGTGGGTGGCTTATAAACAACAGAAACTAATTCTCATAGGTCCAAAGTGGGTCCAAGATCAATGTGCCGGAAAACTTAGTTTCTGGGGAGGGCCAGTTTCCTGGTTTGTAGATGGCCAGCTGGCTGCTGCAGTGTCCTTGCGTGATGGAACGAGTGAGGGTCTCTCTGGGGCTGCTTTATAAGACACGGGTGCCCTTTCTGAGGGCTGCACCCTCCTGACCTCATCCCCTCCCTAAGGCCCCCCTCTTCAACCACCAGGCAAGGGGTGGGTTGGGTTTCAACATACAAATATCGGGGGGACACAAATTCCAGTAGTTCAAAGGCCACATTTATATTTCTAACATTCTATTCTTATACTGGAATATACAGATTTTCATCATATTCTAAATTTTGAGTGACTAATATTTTATGAATCATTATGGAGAGAAATGATATGTAATATCATAGGACTCCTGGTAACAAACTTAATGGACAAGGATTTAGCTGTCAGTACTCATTTGGCACCTGTTGTATATGGAGGAGCTGGCTCCAAAAATAAAAGCACCTGGCTTCGAAGGTAAGCCTAGGAAGGTCATGGCTATGTCAGTGTCAAGAGAAAAGACAAACAGAATGATCTGTTCCTGCTCCGTCTTTCTGCATTCTGTGTGGCTGTGAAATCACTTTAGTGGATCACTGTTACTGTCTTTTAGATAGAAAGAATGAAGTAGAAAACAATGTAGAAAATAGAGTATGAGGCCGAGAGTGGTGGTGCATGCCTGTAATCCCAGCACTTGGGAGGCTGAGGTAGGAGGATCGCTGTGAGACCAGCCTGGGGTACGTAGTGAGTTCCAGGTGTCTCAACTACATAGTGAGGCCCTGTCTCAAAACAAAGAAAGAAAAAGGAAAATAGAGTATAGGAAGAGTGTGTGTACAGTAGGAATAAATAGCATTTCAGGAATCAAGACTTGTATGTGAGGTTGTACATGTGTGAGTGTATATTTGTGCACCATATTAGGCATCTATTGTTGTAAACCATCATCCCACCAAGTTACCTGCTTACAACAATAAGCATTGATTGTCTCACAGTTGCTGTGGCTTGAGTCAGGAATTCAGGGACAGCTTCCCCGGGTAGTCCTGGGTTAGGATATGGCATGAGACGGTTGTCAAGATGGCATCAAGAGCTGGGGTCTACTCTGCGGAAGAGAAGGCTCGCGTGGAGGACCCTTCATTCCTCCCCGGGGTACCTTAGCATGTGAGACCTGGCAGCTGGCCTCTTCTGAGGCAAACAGTGGGTGAGGGGGCCACGATAGGAAGCGTCCCACTCTGCCCGCTGTGCTATCTCCTGAGACTGCCTGGCCGGCAGTGGGAAAAGGGGCTTCCTCCTGTGGGAGAGTGGAGTCAGTCACGGGGGCTGCTCTCACGCCACTCCCCTTGCCTGGATAGCGGCTGAGAGAATGTTACTGGGTGGAGTTTTTCAATGCAGGAGAGTCAGGAGAGGGTCAGAAAGGGTGTAAGACATCCTGGGCTCAGGATGTCCACCTGGTCCTTCGGGTATGCGCAGTCTAAACATGGGGATGCTCACACAGAGGTGGGAGTGACTTACGGTACCTGTGGACATGTACAGTTCAAAGTCATACCTAGAGAATTTTTTCTACCCTTACCAAGATTACATCCGCATCCCCCTCATTCCATACTGAGGATCTAAGATCTTAAGGGCACAGTGGATAAGAATTCGAATGTGGGCCTGGGGTTTGGCTCACTGGTTCTGCCACCTGCCTTGTAGGTGCAATGTCCAGAGTTCAATCCCCGGTGCAAAACAAAACAGAAAAAGAATTGGATTGTACCACTGTGACTTGCGATATCCCTCATTACACACACAGGCTCTGCTTAACAGTCCTATCATTGTGTTAGTTACTTTTCCCTCACTGCTGAGACAAACTACCCGACACCCATGTCAGAGCAGAAGGGGTTTATTTGGCTCACAGCTGGTAGAGGTTTCAGTCCATAATCTATTGGCTT